TTTTTATTCTAGCAGGAAAATTGCAATACCGGCTGAACTAGTTTATTACCAAATCAAGTAAACAAATAAAAGAAATGTGTAATATGATTATGAATCTAAGCTTTATTTTTGTTTTGGAGATTGTTAATGTTCTTCCTCACCATATTTTTGAAACAGGTGGTTGTTGACAAGTTCTCTGGGCGTTCTCGAGGTTTTGGATTTGTCACATTTGATGACAAGAAAGCAATGGAAGATGCTATTGATGCTATGAATGGGATGGATTTAGATGGGCGAACTATTACTGTTGATAGAGCTCAGCCTCAACAAGGATCAAGTAGAGATGACGGGGGTGATCGCTACCGTGATCGTGGTCGTGATCGTGGCCGTGATCGAGATTATGGAGGTGGAGGTGGAGGTGGTCGAGGATCTAATGGTGGTGAATGCTTTAAGTGTGGAAAACCTGGTCATTTTGCTAGGGAATGCCCTGGTGAAGGGTCCAGGGGGGGAAGGTATGGTGGTAGGGAAAATAGATATGGTGGAAGCAGCGGTGGTGGTCACTATGGTCCGGATAGAAATGCAGATCGTTCTTCAGGGGGACGCAACAGGGATGCTGGTAGTCATGGAGATTCTGGAAATGATCGATATTACCGTGATCGTGCAGGACCGTATGAGCGACGGGGATCAGGAGGCTTTCGTTGATACAGTTTAATCCTTTTATTGAGGTATGCAACATGTAATGATTTCTCGGCTCTCCTTTTACCCTTTATGTTCATGGTTCTAATGAAGTTTAAATTGTGTTTTTTGCAGCTTTGAAATTGAAGAGGTCGCTTTTAATGCTTCAGCTTTCTTTTTCATTCGCACTTCACAATGCTCTGGACATCTGGGATTGTTGTTTGGATGGATCAATGATACCAGTATTTAGATATGCAATACTCAGCACATTTTGCAAACTCTTTATGTTCCTAAATGCTGATCTTTTGGTCTAGTGAAAACTTATGCATGCTTGACTTGCGGTCAAATTCGATGTTGTGCTCTATGCTATCTATAATTGCCGCTGGGTATCTTGTGAATTGTGACTTTCATGCATGGGGAGTTGCATTTGACATATTTGCTGCTGGATTACCGATTCAGTTTAAGACGTATTGGAAAGTTTTGTTGGTGTTGGATGTGTGGGTTTTGGAAAGACCAAGATGGCGATCCAAATGTGGAGTTTTGCTTCTTCTCATTGGGAGAAGGAAGTTTTAAAAGTAGAATGCCCATTTGGCTTTCCCGTCTCAGGATCTTTGAGTAAAAAGTAGTCAAGCGGGTAAATCATTGAATATTTATCTCGTACACCTACTTTCTTATTTCCTAGATTTCTGCTTTGGCCTGCGCTTTATTAATGTTATTGACCTTTTGGCAGGATTCTTGGCTAAATGTGGTCTTTTTGGATTCATCATTGGGTTCTTTTGTTGCTAATTGGACATGCATGGTTTTTAAAACTTAAAAAATCTTTTCAGCTGCAAATGGCCAGCCTACAATTGCACTCAAATATGCATAGCACTCTTGTTTTCTTCACGGGGCACTGATGGAAGGGGGTTCCATTTTCTATGATTGTGGCACATTGTTTGGAAGATCTTGATGAGTTGAGCAACTACGATCCATTGCATTTTTTACGTTGTTGCTCTATTTGGTGGAAGATTGCTCTCATCGAACTTTTTACCTGCCTGCATGTGATGTTTTGTTTGCTGAGATCTGGTTTGTCTTACCATAAAGAGATAGTGAAACCCGCGTATGGTCCCAAATTTGAATTCTCTTCAATCACAAGGGTTGGGCTCACTAATATCAGATTTGACATTGCCGCCTTACTTAATCTTCGCACTATGATTATGAAAGGAAATTGATTGTGTTTACCCCTAGAAATTTATAATTCAACTATCATATTCTGTGCTAAAAGTTTGTTGATGTTTCAATATCTGTTGTCATGTTAAATGCCAAACCCATATGTTTCTATATCTGTTGTCACGTTAATATCAGATTTGGTGTTTTTCCATGATTAATTGATTTTGTTGCGTGCTTTTAATCTTTCTGGGCTGTCGCACTCCGACGCACGATATGATTTAGTTCATAGAATGAACCTAATATTTATGTATTCATGCATCTGACCTTAAGCAGGAGCAGCTCTTAATCCGTATTTTTTTTTAGTGTGTGTGTGCCGAATATTTGATGTGACATTGTTAAGATTCAAAGGAAAACAATTTAATGGCTATACCACTGTCGATGACAATTTATGTTCTATAACCCATATTTCCAGTTTTTTAGACAAGTAAATTTCATGTTAGGGAGGGTTGCTATATTACCCTGAACCCCAAACCATATTTCCAGATTTTAGATGCTTATTAGTCAAAACTAATAGTTATTAGAAAATAACAAGTAGTATATGTTTTTTTTCTTCAATATTTAAAAAATAAAAATAAAAATATTAATAACTTGTAATTAGTCAAAATGAACTAATGCAAGAAATATTAACATTGAAACAAGACGGCAAAATGCAATGCAATTACTATGATTTTATACAATAATAAAAGTAAAACATTAGAAATGATTACGTATTTAGTCCTTGGAAATATTATTTGTTTCGATTTCAGTAATAAATTTTTTATTCATATAGTCTTTTACAATATAGTAAAATGCAAGTTTTTAATACCATATTAGGGTCTAAAATTATGATAATTTTGACAAATGAAGAGATAAAAGTGAATACAAATTTTATGGAACTAGATTTTAAATTCGTGATGCTTTAGGAAGAACATGTTAGAGGAGACGAGGTTCGTGAGGGAGAGGAAGGAGGTGAGGAGTTGAAGAAGAAGAGATATGCATCGAAGTTTTATGTGATGTAAATTTTTAAAAAATTTAAAAATTATTTAAATTTAAATTAAGATAAAATTTTTACGAATATATGTTAATTTAAATTAATTAAACAGAATTTCAAATAATTTTTAATTATTTTTTTAAAATTTGCATTCTTGACCTACAGATTAAGAATTTTCGATTTAATTGTTGATTCATTATAAAATATGAATCATTAAATATAATAAATTTAAGGAGAGTTAATCTTAAAATAAATAGACTATTTTATGAAATTTTATTCTATAACAACAAAATGTAAAGATGAAAAAAAAAAAAAAATATCATTCTTGCAAGGAATTCTTCTTATGAAAGTTTTTATATATAAATTATTAATCATTCATTATTACACATTTAGGTAGGATTTTGATGACAATGAGATAATCGATATAATAGGCTTAAAATAATGTTTTAATTATTTAACTTATTTACTTATTAATTTTCAGAATTTTGAGATGAACCCAAAATTGAATTAGACCTACCTTATGGACGACGTGTATTATTTTTCTAGATTTGGAAGTAATTAACTTAATTTTGCCATTATCAAGCCTCTTCTTTGTAAGGCCTATATATTGGAGTCAATTTGATATCCAAGATCAATTTTCATATAATATTTATTTTTGATTGTCTATAATTTTTAAAATACTGTAAATTATGTCGATGAATAAAACAACTTCTTTTTTCCATTTTGATGTACAACTCCCAAATTTATATTTGAGAAAATCAATGATAGGTATATACGCGTGTTTTGTTGAACTTATTTTTAAGAAATAATCATTTATCTTTTATTTAAGAGGACTTTCGAAAAAGAAAGAATACGATTATACACCTTAATTAATATATTCAAAATATACACATAACAGATAACACCTGTTTCGTTTTTTTTTCTTCTAAGAAATACAGATCATTATTATTATGAAATATGAATGTTGCTAAAGGATTAATCTTACGATCTAAGATGTACTTTTTCCATTTTCAGATACAGGTTGCCAGTTAAAGAAAAATGTTGTTTTTATATTAATTTTTATTAATTTTTAATTTTTTAATTTCATATTTAATTACAAAAATACTATCTTATATTTATTTTTTTTTTGTTTTCAAAAACCATATATATAGAAAAAATAAAATACTCTTTAGGTGAAATTATACTTTTAGTGTTCTATCTTACTTTTTATATTTATTTTGCTCCTTTATTTGTTAAAATATTCATTTTAATCTCTTATCTTTTATATTCGGATCAATTTGATTATTTTAAAAAAAATGACCACTTTCAATTTTGTAACACAATTTTGAATCAAATTTTGATTTATTTAAAAGATGAAACTTATAGCATTATATCCACCTAAATGAAAACTATAAAATTTAGTTAATGTTCCAATATAAAAGAATTATAATCATAGTGCAAATGTGAAAAGATATATCTCACGAACAATTAAAAAATAATATGATATTATAGTTTTTAAATTTTTTAATTATTTTTTGGATTGATGTTTATGTGATTCCCACCATATTTATAAACTTCTTTGTTTGGATTTTAATTACATTCAATAATTTTTATACAAGTGAATTTAATGAGATAAGTTTCAAGTCTTAAATTAATAAAAAAAAATCTAAAATTATGTCTCAAAATTAAAAATAATCATTATTTTAAAATGATCAAATTAATCTAAATTTAGAAGATAAAAGACTAAAATAAATATTTTAAAAGATAAATAATCAAAATAAATCTTAAAAATAAGATAAAAGATTAAAAAAAATAGCTAAATCATACTTTAAATTATAATTTAGCTATTTTTTTCATTGCTTTCAATTTTTTCTAATGACATTTTATAATTAAAAGGAAAAATAAAAAAAATATTTTCTCAAAGTAACGACCCTTAATTTGGCACGATTATTCGGATTTCCCTTGAAAGGAAAATAACACATGAATTGTTGTGGCCGACCAACCAAAAAAGCTTTTCCATCTTGAAAGTAGATCCCAAGTTCAATCTTTTCTTAGAGTAGTGGATGCAGTTCAAAGATCCATGCGATTACTCGAACTTTGTGATTAAAAAGTATTCACGACAGTATAAAGTACCATGCCAAAGCCACAAGGCATAGACCACTTTAATTTGACAATAAACAAACCATCAAAAGTAGAATTCTCTTCATGCAATTCCTTATGATTTAGAAACATTCCACTCAATGTTGACATGCATGCATGCACTATTGCATTTGTTAGTTTTCTTTTCAAGCTTTGTCATAAGGAAAGAAACATGACAAAGTTTTGTGGCGCCTCAAGTGTAATGCTAGAGTTACTAATTGAAAATGCAATTGAAAACATGTATTTGATAAGAGTTTAATTTATATGCAGAGCATAAAATATTTTTAAATGGACATATGATAAGATTTAACTATTTTATTTCATATCTTATTCATTAAAATCATGTCATGATAAAATAAATTCATATGCAATATTTGTGTAAAAGTATTATCATTTGGTAATAGGGAAAGTTAACTATAAGCATTATCGTAGTCAAATTTAAAATCTTTATTAAATGACGCTACAACAAATGATTTGATGATTGAGTAGAATATCTTAAACAGTGGATCGACAAAAGTAAATTCATATAATAAAAATACATAATTTATAAATGCATCATCAATTCATTTCTTCACCTATTCGACCAATTTTCATTTTTGTCAGATGCATCTTTAGTTATACTTTGTGACTTTATCTAAATGGTCTAGTATTCAGTGTTAAAAATGAAAACAGTGCATGAATTAAGCTCTTCACTTATTAGTATTAGAGTTTGTGTGAATACAAGTTTAAAAATGCTTTCAATTTTTTTTTCAAAAAAAAAAAAAAATTCTTAAAATACCTTTTAACTTGTATTCAAACAAACTCTTAATTATATTATTTTTGCCTAAAGGACTTACGGCCTATTAGTATTAGTTTAGACCTTATTCAAGAATATTTTGACAATAATATTGCTTACCATATTCATACAGAACAGGATAGTTTGAAAATTCTATTATAATGTTTTACTCACAAGATTGATCCAATTAATCCAAAGAAGTTAAATTCAGGAATATCAAATTGATTTGTTCTTGGGATGTTTTAAACGTTAAATAGCAATTCCAAAGAATTTAAAATAATTTTCCGTTTTCCTTAATTTTACAGAAGGCATAATGTTCCACTTTATTGGTTTGGTCATGTGACCATTATACTGATTCACTTAATAGTTGATTCTAAATGTTCTTGCATTAAAATGACTCTTAATTATTGATAACCTTAGATTTTGCATAATAGAGAGAAACGAGGTACTTATATTGTGCATGCGCACATTTACGCCATCACAGTGAAATTATCCAGCAATTCGGCAACATAGTACAAAGTAGCATCATCATTCACAGAGATAGAGTCATGATATGATCAGTAATGAAACACCAAAGAGGGAAGAAGAAGAAAAGAAGGTTTCCAACTGAGGAGGCAGAGGCGTTGGTTTTGTTTCAGACCATTTCTTGGATGATAGAGTTGGGTCTCCATCAGGTTACTTTTGAATTGGATTGCAAAATAGTCATAGACAGGATTATTGGGAGTTGTATAGTTCAGCCTTAACTTGGGGTTATACTTAGATACTGCAAATACAAGCCTAATTTTTTTCAAAATTTTGAGTTAAATTATGTTAGGAGACAAACAAATTTTGTCGCTCACCTTTTAACTCAGCCATCAAAATTATATGTTATTCCCCATATTATTATGTATCTATTTATATTCAGGAACCCATTTACAATGAAATGAATTGATCTTTTCTTGTCTAAAAAAAAGAAGAAAAGAAGGTGAAGCCGCCTGTTGGACATGTGCTCATTTAAGAAAGCACTTGCAAAATCTATAATCATTTTGAGTCTATTTAAATTTAAACCTTTTGAGTTTTGTTAAAAATTTTCTACCGAATATAAAGAGCTTTTTCTGATAAAAAAATTATGAAAAGTATTTTTAACTTATATTCAAACAGTGTTTATGTTTTGTACTGAGTTCCCTGATGGATATATATAAGCTGAACACAGTCTACTACTGCATCTATTTTTAAAGTTTATATAAGAAAAAGGAAGGGAAAACAACTTAAGTTATTTGTGCAGTAATCACATTCAAAGTCTAGTTTAGCCAATTAATTTGATCAAAGCCAAAAGTAATAGCTATAGTCATCCAACCTCCAATCAGTACTCTGATTCCAAGTCCTTCTCAACCGAGTTTTACTTTTGGCAATTACTACTCTTACCCCTCTATATACTAACCAAGCCAAGATAGCCACAGCAACCACAACTACCACCCTGATCTTATAGTCCCTTACAAAAACAGCTGATAGCATTGGCACCATAGCACCAATAGAAAATCCAATTGTTGATGCTATGGAAGCATGAAAAGGGTTAAGAATTTTATCATCTTCCTCCACTTCCCCTTGTTTGTTATATTGGACTTTCATTTGAGCCACCTCTGTGTCTAACATAGTGTCCACAGATACAAACTCTTCAACTGGCATACTGCAAGCCCCTGCAACTAGTCCTGCAAAGCCAGCAAGAAGCATGGTTTTGATGTCTTCATTCAAAGCTTCAACAGCTACCATCACTAAGGTGACTGAGATCAACCCATTTCTGGCCCCCAAAACAGCTGCCAGAAGCCATTGTGACATTTGAGAGTTTTCAATATTGTTTTCTTCAATGTCTTGGCCAGGCTTTGCTTCTATATCATTAGAATTTATGGGAATCTCAATGTGGTTAATTGGCATTTCATTGCTACTAGTGCCAAGAGAAGACATAGTGTACAAAAATTGTAAGGTGCAGAGACAAAGGAAAAATGAGAAAAAGAATGCTTGTAGAGGACACAATCAACTCATGCAGGTCATTATATAGATAGAAGTAAGATTAAGTTAGTAATTAAGCTTGATGATAATGGACCTAAGTGGTGATTGTCTGGAGAGCACTATGAGAGGTGGCCACCTGTTTTAATAATTCCTGAAACTTTCAATTAACAATGTATCAACTTTTTCATGGACCTGTATGGATATTTGGTCTGATTCACTTTATTTTGGTAAGTAGTACGGTATATGTTTATATCATCAAGGAGCATCTAGTTTAGCTATTTCTCAATTTCTCATAATGATAGTGTTGGTCCTGAGTTCAAGTTTCTTACTGGGCTTAAACTTAAAATGTGATAACATTATTTGGTTAATATGAAATAATCTACTGTTACCGTAAGCAACATGCAGACTAATAAGAGATAGGTAGGTAGATCTAGTGGCGGTGTTATCTAGTTGGAGGTAATGTTTCATTCCACGTGCTTTGTTAGTGGCAGCCCCTCTATTGATTAATAAAAATATATAACGATTAATGAAACATAACTTTATGGATTTGAGGATCGAAGTATTTATGATTAAATAATTCAGGGGAGTGTGTATTCCACAAGAAAGCCACATGCCACTTTGAATATGGAAAAATAAAAAATCTAAAACTACTATCTTCTTTCCCCAGTTCCTTCTAATTTAGAATCTTTTTTAAAGTGGAACATGCATTATTGCTTGTTATTGTTAATTTTGCCATAGTGGGTTCTTCTTGGATGTACTTTTCTCTGCTTTTTTAGGACGTAGAGTGATCTTACAATTAAGTTGCCCATTCCGTTTCTCATATTTTAATTTTTTTGACGTCTTGAATTTCATTTTGTTAGGTACTCTCATGTTTGATTCCTTTCTTTTTTCTTTCACACAATCATATATATTTTCTGACAAGTTATTTTTGGAATGGTATCCTTGTTTACATTTCATCTATCGAACTGCATAACATAGATAATACTAACAGAAAATGCTTATCATCTTTGCAAGTTCATTTGTTCTGACTCTAAATGGGAGTCAAATAATAGGCATATAATGATAGTAATCTAGCAAAAGGGCAAGACGAATTTACACTACCATTCATGTTCCTGGCATATGTTTTCATGTTGCAAAGGTGCTAGCTTTGTCATGTACAGTTTAGTACAGATATACTGAAGAAAGGATTCAAGAGTGGTTCGCATTTTGACATATAAATTTTGTTTGTATTGTGCTCAACTAAGGAATCAACAACAAATTCTCTGGTCAAGGTGCAAAAACCTCATAGTACATAGGATATATACTTAACCTCCTCTGATCTAATGTATCCTTTATAATTAATGTTTTAAAACAAACATCTATGGCGGTCTCGCCTAACATTTAAACGAGACAAACGCAGGGGATAGTATTCCAGAAATAAGTGTATACTGAAAAACAAAAAAGTTTCACAGGCTAAATTTTTATTGATTTATTTTTTTATATTAATTTTTTTTATGCCAATAAAGCCATTTGTGTACTTATAAAAAAAAACTTTCGGTATACAAAATTTTTAAATATGAATCACAACTATGATGTTATTATTATGTATCAAGAGTTTATATACACATATTTCTACCTTAGTTAGTATGATATTGTTTAATTTAAACATACATTTTCATAAATTTGCATTTGATTACTGGCTAAAAATTCTTATTCTAAACATTTATGTTATTATAAATTCATATATTTTTTCTTTTATTTTAATAATATAAAACTTTATTTGTATTTACAATTCCACATTTAGATGGATACCACTCATCCCAAATATAGAAAAATTAGAAGAAAAAAAAATAATAGCCACTAAAGAAAGCTATAATAAGTCACTTTCAGGGAAATGTTTATTAATTTGCAGAAAGATAAATTTAACCGCCAAGTTTTGGCTGTTTTTGCTTCATGAAAGTGCGCAACATGTAGCTTTCGTGTGGATTACACACTCCCTTCAATTTATTAATTATTGAACACTATAATTGCCACTATCCCGTGGAGTGCACACTCCATCAAATATAATATGTACCCTCTTTCTCTCAAATCATTCAACGTTAATATCAACCCAAGTGTTCCATTTTCTGCTGGGATCTTCCGCTTATATCTATTGCTTCTACTGCTCAAGTTATTGATTTATCGAAGACAAAAAAATCAAAATTCAAAAATCAAAAATCAAAATTTACATTAGCCTCTGTACAGTGGATTCGTGGAACAATTATGATCAGTTGTAGATCCTCTCATAAGAAATTCATACACACGATATCATGTAATGAGCGACATGGATACAAATTATAAATAAAATTTCATAAATTTAGATAGAACTTTCACCTATTTGATTTTTGTATGTTTCTTCTCTCTTCACATGATTTTTCATTCTCATCCATATTGACTTTGATGGTAAGAAAAGCATTATATTTGTTCTGCATCGAATATTTATACATATTTCCAGTTTGATATAATATTATTCATAGACCTAAATCTTTATAATTAACTTTCGGTCATTATAAAAAAAACTTCCTTTATATATGTTTATTTTATAAACTCTATCTTTTTCTTTATTAATAATATAAAACTTTATTTGAATGTTAACTAATTTTAAATTAGATATTAATCATATCACTTAATATTATATGATGAAAATTAGGTAATCAATCTCTTCATACTTTCCTTAAATACTCCCATATAAACTGATGCTTCCCTATCTTTCCATATATTCAGTAATCTACTTCTAATAATTTTAAAGCATATATAGGAAATCTGTAAAGAAAAAAAAAGCATATATAGAAAGCCACGCCTATTTAATGCAGCAAAATCTCCGCACCTGAATTTAACTAAAAGGCAAAAGAGGTAAAATATGTTCTATAGCCAAATGATATATAGACAAAATCTCTATAGAAATCTTCTATAGCCTTATGTTGGCAAGCCAGATCGATGCATCCGTTAGGAAAAGCCACCAAATTGCTCGAAAACTTACGTCCGTGAAGCTGAGAGATACATTCGTCTGTGACTATACAATGAGTAGCTTCTTAACGCCAAAAACCACGTCCAAAATGCCATATCTAATTAGCAGGCACCATGTCTATAGTTTTAAAGCAAATACGTCACAAACAAATTTGTTTACTATACCTCTGAAGTCTGAACACATGTAATGTAACCTAAACGTACAGTCATTCATTTCTTAAGCTTCCTCATTATTATATCTTTCAAATTAATAAACCAAAACTAAAAGCATGATTGAACCATGGAAGATGAATAATATACATTATAACATATTAAGGTGGAATAATATCTGAGACTTGGATCCACTTTTTGGTGGTGATCAATTTTAAACGCGAACCATAAATATGTTTTTTTAAGAAGTCACTAACTTGTAGCTAGTGCGTCCTGATCACTATCTCATTTCCTTTATGAATATTAGGTCCATTAGCACCTCAGACTTCACGATCCCTCTCTATAAATATTCTTCATTAGAAGCGTGTGTTCTTCATCAAAAGCTCTTAATATCACATAATTTTCATTCTCCTTTTCTATCTCAGTGTTTTCCAACTTCATTCTACCTTAGTCATGGCCAACCTTGGAGCTAGAACTAATGGAACAACACCAAACCACATTGAGATCCCTATCCATGCAAATGGAGTGGATCTAAAAACAAGCCAAGGAGTGGAAGAGAGCAATGTTGACTACTCTCAAAGGGCTCAGTGGCTTAGAGCAGCAGTGTTGGGAGCCAACGCTGGTTTGGTCTCTGTTGCCTCGTTGATGATGGGTGTTGGGGCTGTAAAGGAAGACATTGGTGTCATGCTTGTTGCTGGTTTTGCAGGACTAGTTGCTGGGGCTTGTAGCATGGCAATAGGAGAATTTGTTTCTGTGTACACTCAATATGACATAGAAAAGGCTCAGCTTAAGAGAGAGAGAGAATCTAATAACAATAGAGGAGTGGATGATGAAGAGGCTCAAAAGGAGAAGCTTCCAAACCCTTTTCAGGCTGCATTGGCATCAGCACTGGCATTTTCTGTTGGTGCTTTGGTTCCTCTTTTGGCAGCTGTGTTCATAAGGAGTCACAAGATTAGGATGGTGATTGTTGCTGTTGCTGTTAGCTTGGCATTGTTGGTGTTTGGAGGGGTGGGAGCAGTGCTTGGAAAAACACCAGTGGCTAGGTCTTGTTTCAGGGTGCTGATTGGAGGTTGGATGGCTATGGGAATAACATATGGCCTCACCAAGTTGATTGGCTCAGCTGAACTTTGAATGTTCTTCGTCATTTAACCGCATCTTATTAATTATTAGTAATGTTGTTTTCGTTGTTGTGCTGTGGTAATCATGCTAGTTTTACTCTTTAATAGATTGTGGCTGCTTTGTTTAAGTAAACAAGAGTGTGCTTTGGCACTACATCGCTGGCCCCTATGATTTTAGGGTTCATCGCTTTTTCTTTGTTATCTTCGTGCTTTATTTGGAGTGTTTACCATGTCTCTCTTAGTGTTCTGAATATAAGTGTAACGTGTCGAATTATCATAGTGCAAAGAAATGTATAATATATTTGTGCATCGATATCTTAATTCTCCATTTAAGTCCTAGCTATAATAGAATATATGCATCAATTTTCAATATAAACCAGCAAAATATTTGTGAACTGTTGTGCCTATGTAGCTGATCTAGCTAATGAAAAAAACTATAAATATCAATTATGATGAGGGTGCGTGAGTCGTTTTTTTTTATTAATTAGTTTCACTATGTTCTTAAAATTTTATTTCAATTAATTATTAAAACCCACTCAATTATGTGACACGCTTTTATTACTCTATTAGAAAGCATAAAGTTGAAGTCTAATTAGACTTTCTATTCATTCATACTAATTTGTTCTGTATCTATCTATTATATATAAAATCTGAACTATATTCTATTATATCGACATTATTATAAAATTTATATGTTGTCAGTATATTTATTTATATAACAAGTTCTTTAAATTTTTATTTTTTATTATATTCTTTTATTATATATTTTTTTTTTTATTTTCTTTATATTATATCTTTTCACATTCTATTTAATCGAATTTTTATTTTTTTAATGTCTAATTTTTATTTCATCATAGTTGACATAAAAAAGGTATTACTTTTTTTTTATTTCCTTTTTTTTCTCTCTTATCATTTTTTTATTGTCTAATTTTTACTTCATAATGGTACTATTTTGAGAAATCAGTTACCCAGTAACCGATTTCTCACTTGGGCTTCAAAGTGGGTTATTTGGGTAAAAAATAACCAGCCCAGGTTATTTAAATAAATAAATAAAATTTGATATATTTAAAAAAAAGTCATTCTTTCTCTCCTCTCATTTCTCTATTGTTTAATTTTTATTTTATCATGGTACTACTTTTTTCTCTCTTCATTTTTTTACTCCTCTATCCTTTATATTATATATTTTATTTATATATAAAAGCTGAGTTACACTATATTACGTCGACATGTCATTATAAAACTAATTTTATATGTTATCATGTTAGCATATTTATCTATGTGACAAATTCTCTAAACTTCTATCTTTTGTCGTATTTTTCGTTCTATATATTATATCTCTCTCTACATTTTATTTAAACTAACTCTTATTTTTTTAATGTTACTTTTTATTTCATCATAATTGTCATAAAAAAGATACTACTTTTTTCTCTCTCTTTTTTTTTTTTTCTCTCCTCTCATTTCTCTACTGTCTAATTTTTATTTTATCATGGTACTACTTTTTTCTCTCTTCCTATTTTTTTTTCTCCTCTATCCTTTATATTATATATTTATGTTATATCTAATCTATCTCTTATCCTCTTTGTTTAATTTTCATTTCACATGAAAATTTTTGTCAAAAATAAAATGTACTACTTTTTCCTTTTATATATAAAAGTTGAGCTACACTCTATTACGTCGACACGTTATTACAAAACTAATTTTACATATTGTCATGTTAGCATATTTGTTTATGTGGGAAATTCTTTAAACTTCTATCTTGTATCATATTTTTCCTTTACTTTCTATATGTTACATCTCTTCACATTCTATTTAATCTAACTCTTATTTTTCTATTGTCTAATTTTATTTTTATATAAAAATCGAGTTACACTCTATTACATCAACATATCATCATAAAAATAATTTTACATGTTTTGATGTCAACATTTTTGTCTATGTGGCAAATTCTCTAAGGGCATCTCCAATAGAAGTAACTCATTTGAGTTGCTTCATGTATTGAAAAATGAAAAAAGTGATTCCTAGTGTGCCATGTCAGCATTAAACAACTCAAACACAAATTTACTCCAATGGTAAGAAACTTTAAGAAATTCAATTTTTAGAATTCTTTTTTCTAATCATTTAAGAACCAAATTTAAATTATTATTAAAAATGATAATTGCACTACAATGAAAGAAGATAAATTACGAGAAAAAATACACTAGATATTAAAAATAAAATAAAATAATAATAAATACATAAATATTATACGAAATTAATTTTCATCATTATTATTTTCGAAACGTTCCCAAAATCTGGTAAGGAACGGTTGTTTCAAGAAGCAACTCTCTCTCTTCTTCAAGCAACTCATGTTGTCACGTCAAAATCCTCTAATGGCAATAAATCAGGGCTTAAATTGTTTCATGGGACAAGCAACTCCCATCGGAGTTGCTCTAAGAGCATCTATAATGGGAGTTGCTTCATTCACTTTAAATGGGTCCTACTATGTTACATCACTCATAAGCAACTCATTACATTTTTACAATTTTTGCTCCAATAGAAGTTGTTTATAAGCACCTCCACTTTTTGATAAATTTAAAAAAATTTAATTATCATGAATAATATATAAATATGAATAAAAAATTAAAAAAACCACACAATTATTATAATGCGTTAAGAAATATTAAATATTAAAAACAAAAAAATTACATAATAAAAAGAAATGCGATAATAAAAAAAATTACGTAATAAATATGCACTAAATAAATACGCTGGTTGCGCGTAATGACGAAGAGCTCTCAAACTTTGACCCTAACATGTACGTTTCCTTCAAAAGTGTGTATATGGCTTGTGCATGCGTAGACTGGATTTGGAAGGAAAGAGATATTAAATTATTTTTTTATTCTTAAGCAACCGTGTCTTATATAATGAACGGTGCTTAAATTTTAACATGACAACCGTGTCTTCTATTTAATCTATCTCTCATCCTTTTTTGGTTAATTTTTATTTCACATGACAATGTGTTAAGTCTCAATTTTACCTCTTTTTGGATGAGACTTATTGAACAAATTCCACTCATCCTTTGAACCATTGCAATATAATTGTTCTCTTTTTGGTTCATTTTGTGTGCAGATATAACTAACCCAAATTCAGCTAACAATACCTTAATACACCTCATTTTTTGTGCAGGTATTGAGCTAGTGACTTGAGGATTGAAGATTCTTAGGATTGGAAACCTAAGAAGCTAAGGAGCAGAGAAGAGGTTCTGCGCCGGGCTCAATATAACC